CACATACATACACACACACATACACACACACACACATGCAACCAGTATATATATATATATATATATATATATATATATATATATATATATATATATATATATATACTTTGTATATATATATATATATATATATATATATATTTTTTTTTGCCAGTATATGTTCTCCATGCATATAACGTGGGTGTAACAGCAAAATTGTTTAAATTTTGGCAAACTTTACAATTGTTAGATTAAATTTTGAACCATTTCGTAGAAATGATATATATATATATATATATATATATATATATATATATATATATATATATATATACTTTGTATGGTGTGTAAGGTTCGTGTGTGTTTGCTTGTTTGTGTGTGTGTGCGCGCGCGCCCGCGTGATACGTCTATTTTGTTTTTGCCAGTATATGTTCTCCATGCATATAACGGGTGAAACAGCAAAATTGTTTAAATTTTGTAACAGCAAACTTTTACAATTGTTAGATTAAGTTTTGAACCATTGTATCGTAGAAATGATTAAAGATATCTTACTGGAATTCTCCGTGCTTTTTATAACATTATTGCACTCTAAGTATGTATAACTACTCTCCAAGCTTAACAGAAGAATCGTGATGAATTCGATCATAAACGAAAATGACATGTTCACCTACCAACTTGTCTACCAGCTTGTGTTACCTGGCCCTGCTGGGGTGCCCGTACAGCAAAAGTCCTCCTGCGATTTGCCCCGAAATACTATACAGCTTCCAGTTGGTGAACATAGACAACTGTAAGCAAGCACTTGCATACATAAAAGAAACGTGTGTGAGATTGGGTGTATTCTTACATATATGTAAGAGTGTATATATTTCTTGCAAGAACGGTACATATGGACACGCGTACACATACACTTATGCACATACGCATGCACACACATGTCCATACGCATGTACATACGTATGTATATACATACCTATATGCATTAAAAAAGCAAAGAGTGACATCTTTATCGATATAGCGATTTAAAAGTAATATTCAAGTGATTTTCTAGACGACTTCCGGACATAAAGCTGTCGAGTTTTATCGCTTCAGTGGATGCTGCATTGTCTTCCACATCACCAGCCAGCTCTCAGCGAAAATGTCTTACTTTAATCAGTATCTTTCACTATCCGCAAATTGTGATGATAATAATGCTTTAAAAACAATCAAATATTTATTTGGCAAATGAGTCCCACTGTTTCAAATGCAGCAATCTTAAGCAAACAATCGTGCGAAGAGAAAACAAATTCTGTTGGAAACACACTGGCATAGTTTATGGATACTGAAAGATGATCACTACATTCGTGAAGAAATGTGGTAGTTTTGAAGATCAATGCATATATGGAAAGCGAAAAAGACCATAACGACAGATTGAATCGAATGTTGTTTGATTTATTGTTGTCCGAATAAATCAGCGACAAACGAGAGAAAAAAAAGATTGGTTAGAAATGTCTGAAAATGGATTTTCGAATTATTTCGAAGAGGTAAAAGAAAAGAAAATGAACAAAAGTGATTTTATTCGAGAAATAAAGGCGGGAAATAGCTGTTACAAAAACTGAAAAATGTGGCCCTTACTAGAAGAAAAAAGAAAACGAAAAGCAAAATGAAAGAAGAAAAAGAAAAGAAAGAAAAAATAGAATAAAGAAAGGGGATAAAAAGAAACAATATGCAAAGGGATTGTCCAACATGTAAAGACATGTAGGAGATTAGATTGCAGCTCTGCACACTTATCTTCGTTTCTAACGACATTTTCCTTTCTCCTAATACTCTGCTTAATTTTAGAAAGGCATGATTCCAGCATTCACAGCCATGTAGGTGATTAGATATTACATTGCACCTCGGCACTCTTTTCTTTGTTTCTAACAATATTTTCCTATCTTTTGATACTTGGCTCAATTCCTGAAATGCATGAGGAGATTTCAAGCATTCACTACCATATTGTAGACTAGATATTACATAGTAGTTTAGCACTCATTTTTTGTTTCTAATTACATTTTCCTTTCTCTTAGTACTTTGCTTAGTTTCAGAAAATCATGAGATTGTCCAGCATTCACTTCTATTCTGTCTTCATACAGATAAGCATTAGTCCATTTTTTCTTGCATTCTTCAAGTGCCTTGTATAAGAGTTCTTTCATTTTCAAAACAATGGAATATAAAGATAATTGAAAAAAAACTTCCTTTTCCAATTATCCAAGACAGGAAGAAGAGAATATTAGAAATGTTCATAAAGAAAGAAAATGTCATGGGAGTGTTAAGTTCTGTAGGCCTTTTCCCCTTATTTGTATCCAAGAAAATCCTCTATCTCTTTCTGGCTACAAGCATGAACTTTCCTCTATGGTACCTAAACTTTATCAATTTAAGAGTAGTACTAGATCGGCGTTAAAGTCTCATCATTTTACAATTGAAATGGCTAGATGTAAAACCGTAAGTTCTATGCTAATAGTTTCTTCTATCGCACTTCTCACTTGTGGAATTCTTTTCCGGCATCTTTCTTCTTATCCTTTTATTGTCCTCTCTCTTTAATAGTATTTTTCTCAAACTCTCTAACATACAGCAACCTTTTGTCTTAGTGGCTTTATTGCCTTACTTGGAATGAAATGATTAAAAAAAAAGAAAAAAATTGAAATATATATATATCTATTGATATACCTATTGATATACGTAATATATATATATATATATATATATATATATATATATATATATATATATATATATATATATATATATATATATATATTTGTCTTGCTTGATAATTTTTAAATCAGAACTAATGTAAGTTCACAGCACTTAGATGTCTACTCTGAGTTTTGTGTGTGTGAATGTTCGTGCGTGTGCGTTGCTTGTGCGTGCGCGCGTGTGTGTGCGTATGTGTGTATGATATTGTATGTGTATATGTGTGCATATGTGTGCTTGAGATTGTGATTGTATATATGTGCGCATATCTGTTCGCGCGTGTGTGTATGAGTGCGTGTGTGTATGTGTGTGCATTCGTTCTTGTGCCTCTGTGAGTGCGTGTGTGCGTGAGTGCATGTGTGTAGATGTGTGTGTCTTCGCTCGTGCGTATGCGGGCAGAAGTACACCCGCGTGTGTGTGAGTGAGTGCGTGTGTGTAGGGGTGTGTGTATGCATGTCTGTGTGTATGCATGTGTGTGTATATGTATGCCTGTGCGAATGCGCATGTGTGCATGTGTGTCATTATTTGATCGCGAGCGAGCGAGCGTTTCTTTGTGTGTGGGGGTATGTATGTGAGCATGAGCCATATATGTATATTCGTATATGTGAGTATGTGCCTGTATATGTATGCCTGTGTGAGTGTATGTGTGTATGTGCCTGTGCGTGTGTATGTGTGTGTGTTTGATTGCGAGCGAGCGTGTGTGTGTTTGATTGCGAGCGAGCGTGTGTGTGTGTGAGTGCATGTGTCTATGTGCGTAAATGTGTCTGTGCATGTGTGTGTATATGTATGCTTGTGTGAGTGTGTGTGTACGTGTGTTTGATTGCGAGAGAGCTTGTGTGTGTGTGTGTGTGTGTCCTAATACATATAAACGTTAGTTCTGATAATCTCCGAACACACGCATGCGCAGATTAGCCATTGGTGAAACTGTGACATTTACCGGGGGTTTAATTTGACATTATTAAAAGCTTGCCAAAACGATGTAATCACGACTTGAGATCTCGGCTGAAGAGTGGGGCGCCTTCGATCAATAATTGCAAACGCCAGTTACGTACGTAAGCGAACACATCACAACGCATACATACAAATATAGACGCATGCGCGCAGAGGCACCGCACACTTACACACGAATAGGCCCTTATTCTCATAGTAAAACACGCGCAGACTGAAACACGTACGCATGCGCACAAATAATGACGTAGACGTTTTTAGACTTTTATTTAAGTGACAATGAACTTTTCCATATTTGATGACTGGTTCGCTTAGTCCAGTGGTCCTCAACCGGGGTCCATATGGATCCGGGGTGTCTATGTAATACTACTGAGGTCTACACAAAAAATAGCAAATTAGGAGTTAATTATTCACATATTTTTAAAATATAAGAGTTAAATACAAGTTTATTTTCAGTAAATTACATTTTTCTCCAAAATAAAGCATATACATTTATTATTTCTATAATACAATTCCTAAACTTATCTATTAGTAAAAAATAAAATAAGCTTTTTTTTTTTCATCAAATGGTTATAGGGGTCCACCCAAAAGAATATGAGTAAAAGTGGTCCATGGGCAAAAATAAAAAAAAACAAAAAAAAAACGAAAAGATGGAAAACCCCTGGATAACCCAAAAACTCTTTTGAAAAAGGGGAGATAACAACGGATAATAGGAGAGAAAAACAGAATCGGTTTGTCGAGTTCCTTTGGGTTACGCCATAAGTGATCAGTTCTTCACTTGTTAAAATCTACAAGGGGAATGAGGGTAAATGTGATTTGGCCGTAAGCCCACAATACTGACCAGTTTCGACGTTGCTTAACTTCAGAGATTGTACGAAAAACAGTGTTTCAACGTGATTTGGCCTTAAGCCCACAACACTACCCACACACCCAAGCTTACAGCGACTGGTATTACCAAGGGATCATTCATCCAGGTAGTGACCAGATTTGAAGTTGCTTAACATCGGTGATAGTACGAGAATCGGTATTTCAAAATGATTTGGCCGTAAGCCCATAATACTACCCTCTCATCCAAGCTCACAGCAACTGGAATTCCCAAGCGGTCACCCATGTAGGTACTGACCAGCCTCATCATTGCTTAACATCGCTAACCGAACGAGAATGGGCGTTTCAATGTGATTTAGCCGTTAGCCCAAAATGCTACCCGCACATTCAACTTTACAGCACCTGGTATTAACAAGCGGTCATTTTCATCTAACTACTGACCAGAATCAATGAGGTTTAAACTTCAGTGATCGTACGAGAATCGGTATTTCGACACGATTTGGCCATAAACATATAATACTACAGGCACGTTCAAGCTTACAGCAAATGGTATTCACGAGCGGTCACCCATCTAAGTACTGAAAAAGCTCGCCGTTGCTTAACTTCGGTGATCGTACGAAAATAGGTATTTCAGCGTGATTTGGTCGTAAAGCCTTAATACAAACCCGCTCGTTCAAGCTTACAGCAACTGGTATTCCCAAGCAGTCACTCATGTAGGTACTGACCACGATCGACGTTGCTTAACTTCGATGATCGTACGGGAATCGGTATTTCAACGTTATTTGGCCGTAACTATATAATACTACCCGCCTGTTCAAATGACTAGCAACTGGTATTCTCAAGCGGTCACCCATCTAGGTGCTGAAAAAGCTCGACGTTGCTTAACTTCGTTGATTGTACGAGAATCTGTATTTCAGCGTGATTTGACCGTAAATCCATAATACTACGCGCACTTTCATGCTCACAGCAACTGTTATTCTCAAACGGTCACCCATCTAGATACTGACCACGCTCGACGTTGCTTAAGTTCGGTCATCGTACGAGAATCGGTATTTCAATGTGATTTGGCCGTAAACATATACTAATACATGCACGTTCAAGCTTATAGCAACTGGTATTCTCAAGCGATCACGCATCTAGGTACTGAAAAATCTCGACGTTGCTTAACTTCGCTGATCGTACGAGAATCGGTATTTCACCCATCTAGGTACCGACCAGGCTCGACGTTGCTTAACTTCGATAATCGTACGAGAATAGGTATTTCAGTGTGATTTGGCCGTAAAACTATAATACTATCCGCACTTTCAAACTTACGGCAACTGGTATTCCTAAGCGGTGACCCATCTAGGTACTGATCAGGCTTGACGTTGCTTAACTTCGGTGATTGTACGAGATGTGGCCGTCAGCCTTACTGAGGAGTGTGGTGGAGTATTGAAGCGACTTATTGTCACTCGATCTCTAACTCGAACCGCTCTTTACTCTTGGTGTTGATACGCAAAGAGCAAAAAAATATCAATAATGATATAAAAATAATAAAAATGGAGTCGAATATGATGAGATTGCAATCTTTGGAACTGATATCGATTTTACCACATTGACTATCTTCTGAAACATCACGGAGTTCATAAAAATAAATATATTCTATAAAAATCGAATACAAATCTCGAATAGAAGATGTTAGATAAGAAACCGTACACTTTTGATCTAAGTTTGGTCCGCACATAATTTGATCTGATACGGTTCAGTAGTTTTTTCTTTTTCTTTGAAATGTCGTTTATTATACGTTTAGTATTTAAAATAAGTGCGTGGCCGGGTAGAATTGTCGTTTTCTGGCCATGAAACCCGAGTTTAACTCTCACAATACTCGAACAGTAAAGGTGACTTCTTGATGTCATTGGCCTGAAGAGGCGACCCCCAGCGTGCGGGGTCGCGTGGAAAGGGCTTGAAAAATTAATAAATACACTAGCGTGCAAAGGTTTTGGAGTAACTAATGCTTATACAGAGTCTGTCTATATTTCTAAGATGAGGTATTATGTACAGTATTTACATTAGTCGGACTATTGTCCTCATCTTTCTCGCCATATTTGTCACAACGTTTCGGCCGTTGTACGCTCCGGCCTTCTTCAGGTGGTTGGAATTTCGAACTGAACCCTTTACTTCGATCACTGGGGTAGACTGTTCTAGTTCCACGTTTGATGGATGTCAGTTATCAGTTATCTCCTGCTAATTTTCCCTCTGCATTAACCAGGTATTGAACTCACCTTCTTTGGGTTTGTCACTGGATCTAACCAACGCCTTTATCCACTGTGCCATGTGTCCTTGAGGACATCTGGGTATGAACTTCTGAGTATTATAAACCTAATGTTTTCAGCACATTCTTACCAGTCCTCATATTGCAATTTTGCTGTTATCATTGCATGTCTTTACCAGAGTTCATATTGCAACTTTGTTATCATTGCTTTTCTCTGGCACTCCTTATTACTGGTTCCAAAATTGTATTTATTTCTATGCTTGGTCGGCTCAGGAGATTTTTGTGGCCTAGCATATGTGCTGATTCTTTAAGTTTACGAATTTTCCAATGGTGTTCCCTGTCGATGATCTCAACATGATCCCACAGGGGGCGGTGATCTCCCTTCTCTCTCCATATGTGGTCAGCCACGCCTGATTTTTCTACTTCTCCTCGCGTTACAGCTTTCTGGTGTTCTTGAAGCCTTACCTTGAGGGGGCGGTCTGTCTCTCCTTTATATTCCTTTCCGCAGCTGCACGGGATAGTGTACACACAGTCTTTAGTCATGTTCCTCTCTGTGGGGGGGGGCGTCTCACTCGTGAGAGATATCTGCGAAGTGTTGTCACGCTTTTGAAGATTGTCCTGATGTTATATGGACCGCATATCCTTTGCTTGGAACCATTAAAAAGCTATGCAGATCAATTCGGCCTGAGAAGATAAACTTATGAAAATATGCCAGTTTCTAATTAGGTTTTCCTCCATCTTATTATTATCTATCTAAGGTTTCTTGGGAAGTAATTGTAGCTGAAAATTCGCTTGCTTCTTTATACTAAAATCGTGGCTAAAATTTCTGCTGCGACAAAGATGAAGGTTGTGTCTTTGAAGGGGAAGATGACTCAACAAGAGACAGTCAGGCGGCTGGAAATTTCCAGAAACTATGTTCAAACCATCCAAAAGAAGTTTACTACTACTGGTAGTGTTTCAAGGACAAAGAAAACGAGAATACCACCAAAGTTGGACAAAAGAGATGAAAGAAAGATCGTTCAGAATCACGGTAGGCAATCCAAAATTAACAGCCAGACAAGTAAGGAATCAACGCAGATTTCATTTTTTTTTATAATCATTTCAACCCAAGTAAGGCAATAAAGCCACTAAGACACAAGAAGTTACTGAGTGTTAGAAACTATGAGGAAAATACTATTAAGGAGCGAGAACAGTAAAAAAAAGGAATTACGAAGACGGAAAAAAGTGCTCCGGTGAAAACCATACAATCTCCAAGAACTTAGGGACTACTAACAAGAAGAATGATAAAACAATTCCTAATGAGAAAAACCGAACCATATTCCGTCCAATGTGACATCGAATTGGGGCAATGATTCGAGTCAAAGAATATTTAGTAATTTCATAATTTGTACTTTTTGCAATATTAAATATCACTTTTCGCATGGGTGGCTTGAAAAAACATAAGCAGTAAATTACTGATACCCTCTGAAGAGTGGACGAACAGGCCTGTCTACGAAACTCTAGAGTCGGGATGCTGAAGATAACATCAATCAGCTAAGTGACAATTTTACTCCCATTAATCCTATATATATATATATACACACACGCACACAGTGAGAGACAACAACTATTCATACACATACACATTTTTAATTTATTGTATTTCCAACTGATGAATAAACATATTTTTCATTTAATTAACTGTGCACAGATGCATAATAACTAAATATGCATAGAAAACAGAAAAAATGATTCAATAGAAATAAATCCCATTTATCCATTTTAATGAGTCAAAGAAGTATACGTACAATGCAAATTTCAGATTTTAAAACTTTTAAATTACTTTAATACTCAAGATTATTCAAGGGGAATATTCTAGAATGTTCCAATAATGTTAACAGCAGTTATTTTTAGCCTAAAAATACAAACAGAACAATCTGTAATTGATATTCGTGCAAGAAGATTATTATTATGGCAAGAGATAAAGAATTGATAAATTCGAACAAATTCGCCAAAACTGATTGTTAAGCTCTGGAAAGAAGGTAAGTTACAGGAAAATCTCAGACAACCTGAGTATTCCATTTACTACCATTAGTTCATTTATTGCAAGGTATGAAAACTCAAAACTGTTGAAAAGAACAGGTGCTCCACGGAAAATTTCTTCAAGATCTTCGAGGAAATTAATGCGTCAAATTAAACAAAATCCAATGGTTACTCATCAAGAGTTGCAGGATGATTTGCTTTCATCCAGAATCTGTGTCACTAAACGGACAATAATCAATGAAATCCATAGCAACAATCTAAAGTCACGCTCCTCTCGGAAAACTCCACTGCTATTGAAAAGACAGAGAAACCAGGTTGAAATTCGTTCGTGAACATAAGGATAAGGAAAAATCGTTCTAGGAAAGAGTATTATCGACAAAGGAAACCAAAATCGAGTTGTTTGGATGTAATTCTAGAAATCATGTTTGGAATAAAAGATGGCGATGCCTTCAAACAAAAGAACACATTAGTGATATTTGGTGGTGGCAGCATCATGGTTTGGGGAATTTTTTTCTGCAAAAGGTGCTGGCAATATATCAGTAATTGATGGTAGAATGAATGCCGCAGTATATCAAAATATTTTGGAAGCAAATTCAATGATTTCGATTGAAAATCTTGAACTTCCTCCTGATTGGATCTTCCATCAAGATAATGATCCTAAGCTCACTGCGAAATTTAAGAAGAAATGACTTGTTAAAAATAATGTAAATATCCTGAAATGGCCAAATCAGTCCCCAGATTTAAATCCAATCGAGAACCTGAGGCGTTATTTGAAAATTCAAATCCACTCCAGAGCTTCAGGCTTTGAAAATACCAACTAAAATTTTGCAAATCGTTACTTGAAAACTCTAAGATTTGTTGCTGCAGAAGTGAATAATGGCTATTCTACAAAGTATTAAATGAAGATTATATATTCTTTTTGTATTGTACGAATACTTTTTTACTCATTAAAATAGATAAATGGGATTTATTTGTATTAAATGAAAAAAATTCTATGCATATTTAGTTATTATTCATCTGTGTACAGTTAATTATTTGAAAATTATGTTTATTCATTAGTTGGAAATACAATAAATAAAAAAATTGTATGTGTACGAATATTTATTTGCCCCCCATATATATATATATATATATATATATATATATATATATATATATATTCAGTTCAAAAGCTTGAGGACACCCAGGGTAATGTTTTTAATTTAACCCCAAAAGTAGTTGTTTTGTACTTTAAATAAGATAAAATTATTATACATGGTTAAAAAAAAATGTGAGACATGATTTTTTTTATTAGAAATTTTATTATGACAAAAAGAAAAAAGTATTTATGATTAAATTTTGCTCTCGTCAAAATATCCTCCATCAGCATTGATTACTGCAACACAAATATCCGGCATTCGTTGCAAAAGTTTCTCAAATGTAAGTTTGATAATTGGTTCTATTCTTTTTTTTCAATGACTCTGACATCTTTTTCATTTTTTTTTTTTTTCACTCTTTTATCAAGTTCGTCCCATACT